ATAAAGAAGAAGAAAAGGAAAGGAAGGGAGAAGATCGTAAGCGACGAATAATTGAAAAACCAAGGTGTTAACCGGATAAAATAAAAAAAAAGAAAACGAAAAGGAGGAATTGGACGCGAAGGAACGCGGAACGTATTTGTTTCAGATGCAACAAATTTGAGATACAAGTGTAATAGTAATAATAACGATAACGTAAGCGGATTGGTCGGTTTTACAAAATGATCTCGATAGTACACCGCGTTTGTCGGATGCACGAACAGCCGCCAATCATTTCGACAGTCGTCGGATACACACGATCGCCGATTATCAATTAATTCTTTTCGATCAGCTCGGTGAAGGTGAGGTCCAGATCGTCGCAGATGTATTTGTACTTTTCTTTCTCGTGTACAAGCTCGTCTGAAATAAACAATGCCTTCGTTAAAAATTTATCGGATTAAGCAACTAATAAAACATTTATCATTACACTTATATAAATATATATATAGAAGATAATCTGTATTATCCTAAAAAGTAAGAAGCGAATATATTGCTCCATCGCCTTTATACGTACTTAATGTATGAAAATATTGGTATGAAAATGATCTGATGGTAATAAAAAATGCATTTCGGTGACAAAACAATGTTGGATTTTTAACTCTTTGCTTATATGCATCTATTATGATAAGTTTACACCATGTCCTTCTTTATCAAACATTCCAAGCTTTATTTTAATTGTACGATCTAAAAATAATTTGACAAAAATCTTCTTCTATATTTATCGACGCAATAAAGAAACAATAAAAGATTCGATAATTGTGGAAAAAAGCAAAGAGTTAAGTTGAAAAAATGATATTCATGACGATGTCTCTACGGATATCTCCATTGTCTCGGTTCAGCAAGGGACGATATCGGTATTTCATTTTCATGGAAAAATGCTGTCTTGTGGCAAATTAGAGCCTCGAAGTCGTTAGTTAAGCAGGTTAAGCTCGAGAAGTAACTTACGGAGTACGTGTTAAGAGCAAGCGAGATTGTGAGAAAGTTTGAAATTTTGGTGGTATATATATGAATATATATATATATTTTTTTTTTATTTGTTTGGTCGAAGCGTTAAAGAGGTTGGTTAGTGGCACGTTAGACGCCGTAGAGTTCCATGAATGCCTGATCCAAGCCGTCTCCGATTTCCTTGTATTTCTCCTTCTCAGCCACCATTTCATCTGCAAGCATTCGCAATGTTATTTCGAAGAAAATTTGCAAACTCTTCGATATCTACTCGACAGTGTCGCAAGTGTCCGAGCAGATCTAAGCTCTAAAAAGGAGGTAGTGCTAAGCTGCTGAGAATCGTTAAAGAGCTATGAAGCGTTGGTTGGACAGGAAGTGGGCTTTGGAGCAGATTCAATCTGTTCTTCCTTGGACGTTTTAGTAAAGATGAATGAGACTCATGTATCTCTGACAGCTGCTTGTAGACCATGGAGTTTGAATTATAGTTTATGATGCTGATGTAACGCGTCGTGTATGAAATATGAATATATGATTTAAAAATTTGAGGAATAAAGAAAGATGATTCTTAGTTGTATCAGTGTTTCCTAATCTTTATCGAATCGCGATCCTCTTTGTAATAGACAAATAATTTACGACTTCTCTACTCTCTCTCTCTCTATATATATAAATGAATAAAGAAATTACAATGATAAATAAACGCTAAAAAATTTTTTTGTAGCTAAAGTCAATTTCTATTTTAATTTTCCTTTACAATTCTATCTAATATATAACAGCGTTATTTAATATAACTGAAGTAAACAAGTGCCAAAAATGTTCAATTGAAATTGACTAGTGACTCGCCAGCAAACGCTTTACAATCTTTCGGGATCGCGACTCATAGGTTGGAAACGCAGAATCTATACTATACACGTTCCTTAAGCGACAATGAGAGAGGCTATTTTCTATAATTCTACATTTTTTCTAAGGGAGTACGAAATTGTTAAAAGCTATTGAAAAAAAGATTAAGTATTCTATATTCTATATATTCGTAAAAATACGAGAGCCTAATTAAGATGGCATCGATTCGAAGGAAACAAATATGGCGTCATAAAAATCTTTCCTCAAGGCCGCGGTCTTCATTTAAGAGAACTTCGACGGTCCAGAGAAAAGCAGTGGTTACATCACTACATATTATGTTTCTCTGAATCATCATGACTTCGACTCGAGAAAGACCTTTATACTATGTACACATATGTCTGTAGAAACTACGAATACACTTACTATGATCGGAGATGTCCTCCGAATAAACAGTCGAAAGTTTGACGATTATCTTAGGAAAGGGATGGGGCCATGCTGGACAACGGGATTGAAAAATTCGAAGACTAGCAAATAAAATAACAAGCGAGTTTACTCACCACGATTTTTTTCGATACGTACCATGGACACATTTTGGTTCTCCTTTGTGTATTGTGGCATGCAACAACTACGCACAGCTAACACAACGGGCAGCGTCGTGTGTTATATCGCGTTGTACACACAGTCGATGGTCAGTAGATTTGTTTATTTTTGTTAAGAAATCGGGAATTAACGCTTTGTTGGAGATCAGATTAAAGAAAAAAAAAAAAAAAAAAATATCAACACTCATACAGAGACGCACAAAAACAAACGACACGCTGTTTTTTCAAAATTAAAATATATATTACAAACAGTTTTATAATAATAGCAATATATATAATAATCATTACAATGATATTAGTGTTATTATCGTTTCATTCGTTTTTTTTTTATTAATATTAAGTAAATTAATAAACTAAAACTCTCAAGTGTGAACTCAAGTATTTGCGTTTTCTTTTTTATGCATTTTCTCTGTCGCACTCATTCTCACTTTCTCATTCATTCCACCTTTCTCTCCCTCTCATGCTCTTTCACTCTATTGGCATTTTCTCGAAAAAAAGAAAAAAAATACGGGAATAACAAAGAAATGTCATTATCGTTAACGGTAGGACGCGTGGAATCGTCGTTATTGTGCTTTCTTCGATTTTCATAATTAGAGAGCAAGAGCATGATCTCTCTTACTCTTTCTCACACGCACTCTCTCTCTTTTTCACTATCGTTCTCTCTCTATAGAATAACTCGTGACGTTTTCGATCGCTGGACGCGCATTAATTTCTTCGGATGTCTTCCCGAGATTTTGAAAAACCCAAATGTACATTGTATTGTATCTAAAAAGATTTAGTTAGCATACTAACGTATTCATCGATTTATACAACAAATCTAAAACATTATTGCACAAACTATTCTTCGAAATGGTCATTCCGTAAGTAAATGCGGCATCTTTGTTTCAAGTGAAAAGCAATAATTATTATTTGTTCATAACAATTAATTACCGATATACTCTTCTTATTTCTTACAATAGAAGGACTTTTTATATTCAACGATGAAACAGTTTATTCAAAAGTTTACAGTGATTTAATTTTGAGCTGATTTTTATTGGTTTACATAACTCTATTAGAAGGTAGAGTTCCTTATTGCTGCAACGTTTTCAATTATTAGTCATCTTTCCATTAAATTTTCTATTCCTCGTTTATCACATTTTTAGCGTGACAAGTGACAATTCGTATCCTTAGGTTTAAATGCAACTTTCAAGAAACTGCATTACTTACGGGATTACCTAATACTTCATACTTTTACAAAGTTGAGAAAACTTTCTAAATTCATCTCGACACGACATCCGACAAGCTACAATGAACGAGAATCACCCAGGGGATTAGATACGTAAAAGATGGTCAGGCAGTTTCTTCTTCACGATGATAAAGAGGGAGGAATGTTTCACGTGGAATTAACTATGACACACCTTCGAATTAGGTGATCTTAATACGGATGTGGATATTAATTAACGATATCGATTAACTGCGGCGATGAACAATCGCATAAGATGAAGTTACGCGCCATGAAATGGAAATTCTCTCATTCTTTCTTTTCCTCTTTTTTCCTTCTCCTTTTTCGTTTTCTATTGGCCAGAGAATGATTACAATAAAGGATTAATCCAGGCACGATCGGTAAACGTCGAGTGGCTCAGCGTGAACTAGAAGGACACGCGATTTTTGCGAACGTACTTTGCTCGTTCACCTTTCTATTCCTAATGATTGCTGCGTTAATTGCGATTGCAAGTTCACCATTTTCTGTGAGGATGTTTCCAAGATCACATTTTGTCGAATAATCTTTATGTGATTAAACATTGAGTACTTGGGGAACACGTAGTAGAAAATTAGAGAAGGAGATTCTGTTTGAAAAATTCACCCTGCGGTTCAAATAGCTTTTGACATTTAATATCAAATAGTTTATAGTTAATATGCTTTTAAAAAATGTAGAAAATTGGAATGCATTTTTATATGTATCCATGTTGACATATTTCTATCAAATAAAAATACAAATTTGCCTATTAAATTTAAAGTTAAAACTTCAACATTGAATAATGATACAAATAACAATAATAATAAATTAAAACCGAAATATTTTCAAATTATTTAATTTAACATATTTCTTATTTACTTTTTAACATTATGTAAAATACAATTCAACACAGAATCACAAAGGGTCAAATAAAAAGCATAGAATAAAAGTCCCTCAAAAATTTTCAACAGACTTCCTTTCCACCTTTCATGCATAATTATATATAAATAATCTCCTTCTCTTTGAACTGGACTATATATTCTGAAGTGCCCTGTATTATCATACATGTATATTAATATACGATTTAAACTACAAATATACAAAAACTTTTAACATATATTGCGGTTTCTTTCTATATATCTCTTATTCCTGACGTATACACCTCGCTAAATTCTAAGCTTTAACCAGTGAGATTAATACTAGTATCTTTTTGGCTGGACCACGCGCAAATACGAGCTTAATATTGGATTTGTTCCTCGAAGGTATCACTTAGCTGGCAGTGAGCGTCTTTTAGAAGCATTTAAGATTTACCATCAGTGAACGAACGAGCAGTGGAAGAAGGCCAAGGACGTTCCTTTTTCATGCTGAGCCCCAAGGAATTATAAAACGTTAACGACGAAAAGCAACGAACAATGGTCATGTTCGCCCTTTTGCTGCCAATTCATACAGTAGTCCTACGCCGAGGAAAAATTTACTTATGTGGTCGAGTTTGTCAAATATTTTTGTTAAGGTCGTCCCAATATGTTTATTGGAACTTTTTATGATTGTCATTGAAATGTGCATTAATTAACAAATCGAGGAGTCTAAGCCATTAATTATTCAATTTAATACTGTTTATATAAAAGCTGTATAACTATCTCACGTACATAAAGATAATAATTAAAATACAGAAGAGTAGAATTTTCAGCAAAATAGATTAATTAAAAAAGTAGAATAAATCTCGCGATGTCTTACGAACGTTCGGAAGCCACGATACGTGATAGGACGTAACAGGTGGAAAATACTTGACAAACTCGATAGAAAATTCTTCCTTGACGTACACGCTTTGATCGGTTGCCCTTTTTACTCTGTTTCCTATGTCTTCGCTCACGATTCTCTTTTACAGTACTCGCCTCGTAAGGAATTAAAAGACACTCAATGGTATTGAAATTAATCATACTGATCGACAATCCAATTAAAAGCAAGCATTACCAGAGAAGAAAAGAAAAAAAAATGATAGTCGTGAAAGATATGTTTTGGACAACAAACGACAAAATTTCAAAGAAAAAGAAGAAAAGAAACACAGAAGACAAAGGGAGTTTTCATCTTCGAGCCCCTTTGACAAACCGCACACTCTACCTTTCTTTTTTTATACATTATACATTTTACTCGAACCATCGTTCTATCCTTTCCTACGAAAAGGATGAAGAAACGATAGTTCGAGTGAAAAGCGTGCGCAGCAGAAGTATACAAAGTATAAAGTATATCCTCTCTTTCTGACGAAAAAGAGAAAAGGAAGGAAGAAAAGAAAAAAAAAAGAAGTTTTTCAACGTTTTGCGAAACGTTTACGAAAGCACTCGTGTCGCACAGCGTGTATTTTTTGTTTCTCAACGATATTTCGATAAATATCGTCGAACTCAAAAAAACTTTCGATGTTCGTTCGTTCGTTCGTTCTGCGACCCTCACCCCTTTCGAATTCTGTTTACAGTATTTACTTTTCATTCCTTTTATCTCTGTTTTGTTCCTTTAATCCCGAAGGAATCGTACCCTAGTATCTGCGTATGCTTTTTAAATTCTCAACGTTTTTGTTATTTATATAAATCTTTTCTCGACTTTTTTTTCTCTCATGTTTCTGTCAGCCGCGAGACACGATCTACATGTTCTGGATGTCATGCAGGGTGGCCTCCATCTCTTCCTGGAGCAATTTGTTTTTCTCTCTCTCGGCGGCAAGGTCGTCTGTAAAGATCACCGGTTAGAGGGAGGTTGCACACGCACATAGAAGGCACAGACGAGCGCGCACAACTTTCTCATTGATCGCGGATATGCCCTCTCGGGGGTTGCAGTGGTTAGAGGAATGAAACACGTCGTAATCATCGAGCAACTATGTACACACGTCACACGAGACGACGCGACATATGACGATTATGTCATCGCTTTTTTTGGGTTTTAAGTCGTCGTCGCAGTTAGCATTAAAATCGGCAAATACGTGAAATAGGTTTTACAGCAAACGACAGGCATGATTGTTTCGTAGATGGAAGAAGAACCGAATGAAGAAAAAAGTAGTAAAAAATTAAAATACACTATCAGATACACGTATTAGGACACGTGGAGATACGTAAAAAGAAACTGAATTCTTTTCACTGGCTTTTAGCGATTTCATTATTCTTCCACTATTTTACTTCGTTCGTTATTTATTTTATTATAAATCTGTTATTTCATTCGCATCATATCGTATCTTGTATCGTGAAAGATTAAATAAAGTGACCAATAAATGTAAATGGGTGTCCTAATCTTTATGACCAACAGTGTATATATTCTTAATGGATCATTACGTAATATTACATAAGTTATTCGTTATTCAATAGTAAAAATGGTAAAAATAATTTGTAGGAAAGAAAACGTGGAGTAATTTATAATCAGATTTTAAATCGTTGAACATAACAAAGTGGAATTTTTCCATAAATCTAGTACTCCAACCGACTGTCGTCTGCAGTTCTATTAATCATTGGATGCACTCAAACAAACTCGAGGAGCTTGGTGAATTTGGAAAGAAGCGATGTTATGGTTTCGTTAATAGATCCCTAACAGGTTATCGCAACTATAACTGAATGCAATCTTACTGTTCATATTCTGCTCCCTTCGACTTGTTTTCAACGTTCGATTCGTAGTTCTCTCTCTCTTTCTTACTCTAACTAAGAACATAATTTCTAATGCTAAATTAGACTAAAGTACCAAAGAAACAACAAAATGGTTGCTATTCGTAGTAGAGTTGGAAAGAAGGTTCGTAATGACCGTTCGAGAAAGTAAAATGTCTCGAAAACGAAAATTTCGAACGATGACACGAGAGAAACGGAAATGAAAAATGGTTGGACGAGATACGCACCTTCGAGCCTGTCGACCTCCTTCTGCAATTTCTGCACGGATCTTTCTGCGAACTCGGCACGAGCTTCAGCCTACAGAAACGAGAAGAATAGATCAGTATTTGTACTTTGTCACATTCATGTGATTTGTCGTCGATTTTAAAATTTTTACATAGGAAACTAAATTCTATGCATGCGTCAATGCTAATAATTTACAGAGTATTACGCATACGTATATTATGCACCCATTTAAATTCGTCAAACTAAAATGCAATGTCGAGTATAATAATTAAATTATATCGAGTATAATAATTAATAATTAAATATCGATATTTACTAATATCATTATATACATGAAATATTATTAAGATAAAATATCCTTTTAAAATCGACGGATTTCTTTCTTCTACCATATTTTCTTATTAGTACAATTGCACTCCATGCTTTATTTTTACTTCCAATGAAAACAATATAACGAAAACCTGTTAGTTAAATGCACACATTGTTTTTTGTTAATTAAAAAAATTCTATTTTTTTTTTTACTGATGACTCAACACCCAAACGTTCGTACCTCATTCGTTGCTTATCAGGAATTGAGCAATCGATATACATCTTTTATGGTTGTTCTTTTCGCTTGTACTTATGCGTAATATGTGAGATATCAGTACCTGAACTGGATTAATGAAAGGTGTGCAAAATAAAAGGGGAATGTGTACAAAAAGAACGAGCATCTAATGGAAAGAAGCAACAGGATACTACAGTATGTACAAACCTAAATAAAATTCTGCTAATTCAGCTAATTCTAGTGCTTGTACAACGAAACCAAAATAATAGATATAAGAGTCTCTAAAAATTTCTTTTTTTTTTTACAAAAAATGATAATATTTCAAATTCTGCAATGAAGGATTCCACTTTCGTTTCGATTCTCACTTACCTCTTTTAATTGACTATCCAGAATCTTCACCTGGCCCACGAAAGTCTCCTCTCTTTGCGTCGCCTATTTTTAGACAAGCGCAAACAAAAAGAGAAAAAAAAACGATCTCAAGTTAGCTTTACAAAACTAAAAGAGAGGGAGAGAAAAAAAATGTGTGAAGTAAAACAAAACGAGAAGAAGAAAGATGAAAAATGACGGCTAAGGTTATAGAAAGAAAGTAGCGTAAATGAGGAGAGAGAAAAGGGTGAACGAGTTAATGTTTTAGTAGAAACGGCGGAAAACTCGCGACGACAAATCACACTCTGCTAAAAAAAAAAAACAAGAATCAGATGCAAAACACTCTCTAAAATGATTTGTACCTCCTTCAGGCGAGAGGTAAGAGTCTTAATTTGGTTCTTGTACTCCTCTTCACGCTGGTTGGCCTATGGTACAGTAACGTGAACATTATGCATCTTAATATGGAAATTTACTTTTCTCGATCCATCCACGCGTCTTCTCTTTTTTCCTTTTTTAATTCTATGCCGCCAGTTCGATTTTTTTTATCTCTCGCGTTATTTTCTATCGCGTTTATCATACACGTTTTGTGGACGAACGCGGTGCATTAAAACCTCTGCGAACCCGTGTATTCATTTCACGTTACCGTGGAAAATCTTGCGATATTTCTCTTACGTGTTACCGTTTTTCTTACAGCGATTCTTTTGTCCCGTGATAACTTTCGCAGTGTGTATGTCCCTCGAGAAGCCAGGGTTTTGATGCGCGCGAAGGAAAACGAGAACCCGAGTGTTAAATGAACGCGTCGTTATGAGGCAAATCGTTGAAATCTGCTCTTTCGATTATAATTGGATTATTAATAAACTGAACTCTTTGTTCTCCTCTGATATCGCTATAGTGATATTTTATGGCATGAAAATTATTTCTTCTATTATTTTCAGAGGTGAAATTACTCCGAAAATGAAAAAGAGAAGAAGCCTACTATATAAATAAATCTATCAATATTTATATAATTAGACTGTCGGATATTTATGTATTCACAGAAAAAATAGTAATTTTATTTTCTATACTTTAATTATAATACTAATTTTAATTTTAATTTTGTATAATGTAATATTAATGTTGTATACTTTAAAGGTATACAAATTTATATAAATTTACAAGGTATGCAAAGATATAGAAAATGTTTCATTTGTATATGAGAAACGTTTATAAGACGTAGAATTGACACAAATTGGTCGCGACGCGAACGTGCAGTGAATTTGAAAGAAAGAGAAAGTGAAACAGATTGTATATGTATGTATATTCGAGATTATATATATAGGTATATATATATATTTGTTGTCAATAGTACTTACCTTCTCTTCGGAAACCTCGAGGGATTTCAGGTTGTTGCCAACTACGCGCAGCTCTTCTTCAAGCTCGACGATCTTCCTGTAAAATGAAAAAATCATTTACAACAAATCCAGGTCGTAAATACGAATTCCTACCTGTGAGTGTGTTTCTTTAAGTATGCGGAAGAGAACTGGTCGCTGGTCTTTGTGTTTTAATTTTGAGGATGACTGAATTGTTTTCAACAGAGAATTCAGAATATTTTCTTGAGCAAGTAATTTTTTAATTTCATTTAATTTTTTAATTTTTTTTCAGTAATTTTTTCATTTAATTTTTATTCAAAATATGATTTCTTACAATTTTTTCATGAAAGGAATTTAAGATACTCGATTTTAAAGATTGAGTATCAAAAATATTATGCAGGGTGTTTTTTTCAGTAATTTTTTCATGAAAGGAATTTAAGATACCCGATTTTAAATATTAAGTATCAAAAATATTATACAGGGTGTGTTTTTTTCACTAATTTTTTCATTTAATTTTTATTCAAAATGTGATATCTTCTTACAATTTTTTCATGAAAGGAATTTAAGATACTCAATTTTAAAGATTGAGTATCAAGCATATTATACAGGGTGTTTTTTTCAGTAATTTTTTCATGAAAGTAATTTAAGATACCCGATTTTAAATATTAAGTATCAAAAATATTATACAGGGTGTGTTTTTTTCACTAATTTTTTCATTTAATTTTTATTCAAAATATGATATCTTCTTACAATTTTTTCATGAAAGGAATTTAAGATACCCGATTTTAAATATTAAGTATCAAAAATATTATAGAGGGTGTTTTTTTCAGTAATTTTTTCATTTAATTTTTAGTCAAAATGTGATATCTTCTTACAATTTTTTCATGAAAGGAATTTAAGGTACTCAATTTTAAAGATTGAGTATCAAACATATTATACAGGGTGTTTCAAAATTTATATGGAACTTTTTTGCAACAGTATTATATAGAAATTCTTTTTTCAATAATATCACCGACTATAATTTTATACTGATTTGTCATCGACCAGCGTTCGTTCTTGTCAGACAAGCGGAAGGAAATTGTTCATGAACGTTGAAAAATTAAAAAGAATGTAGAGAACAGTGGCACATGCACAAACTGAACCACCTACCCTTCCGAAAGTTCTGCCTTTTCCTCGGCGCGCTCAAGATCCTGCTCCATCATGACTAGTTTTCTGGCAACCTGTGATCAACAGCCACACTTGTCATGCGAAAAAGCAAGGACGATAAAAAAAATATGAACAGAAACAAAAAGAAAAAAAATTCCAGTAAAATACAGAAAACAAAAGTTATATCGCAAATGCATGCGGACAGTCAGCTTCCAGTCTGCTTCTCCTTGTTTCCCATTGCTTCACCGGTCTGCTGCTCGATTTGTGACTCGAATCTTAGTGAAACGCTCTTATAGAAATATATTTTTATCCAAAAAAAAAAAAAATTGAATCAAAAAGAATTTCATAAAATATATAGTGCATTCAGGAATTACAGTATTAAAACAAAGTATTTTATAAAATATAAAATATAGAAAAAGAAATACACAAGTTGCCTTGTCGTATTAAGTACTTTTTGATTCCGATTTTCTTGGATACAAGAATTTGAAGAGGAATCTCAGTCACAATCGCTATTACACTACACATTGTAAATATTGTTTTGCAATTGCAATTTTTCTTACGCAAGTTCTCTCCCTCCTCACATAAAAGTGAGTCTACAGACTCAGATTTCTCTTTTAAAAGTAACACGATTCAATCGACATACACGATCGATCCGCGACACAAATCGTGATCGATCGCAACTGCACGGAACCTGTTTGGTTCCGAACCAACAACTATATGAATTTTCATTGGGAGAAAACTCAAAAAGAAAACCAATCAAACGAACACATTAGGAAACATCTGTGTTAAGACAGTTGCACACGTGATCACGTGTCATCAAACGTCTTTAATCGTGCCTCTGTGTGTACGTATACATATGTGGCAGGTGTACATCCTCGTGGACATGCACACATGAGAAAGTGTAGCGAAAAACAGGGGGGAAAAATGGGGTATAAGAAACTGGCGGTTTTTGGCGCACGCTTGAAATTCGAAAAGAGGCATTGTTAATGGCAAGAAAAGAAAAATATGGTGAGTGTGAGTGTTTTGATTTTTTGAGAAACGGATGCTTACGACTCTCCGGCCTCGGCACGTTCCTCAGCACGTTCTAGATCGGCCTCAACCATGGCCAATTTACGGGCGACCTGTATAAACGACACATACACACGGTTTCTCTTTATGTTCCGTTTTTGTCTCTCTCCAGCAGTTCCTTAGCTCGCTCTTTTTCTCTTTCCGTTTTGCCGGTCCCTGTCTCGTGTCTCGACCAGGCATCTGGGCCAAGATCGACGCTCTCGCGCCTCGATCTTGCCGCCATTATCGCCCCATCATCGAGATCACCGTGATTCTGACCGACTCGATGTCGCTCTACGAACTGAAAGAGACTGAAACTCCTTTTGCGTCTGGTTGCTTCCATCGACTCCACTCAGTCTAGTGTCCCCTCCATTCGTTTTTCTAACTCTACCTTGAACGTGGCGAATTTCTAAAGTAAATGGCTCGTCGGAAACGTGGAACAGCGTTTGGTTGTAACGAGTCGGTGATTAGTGTTAACTGACTGCTTTCAGAGATTTATTGGAGTACGAAAATTTTGTTTGAAATTGTTAGATGTGGAGGGGAAGTGATGGTAGCTTCTTGGCGTACATTTTGTATGAGATTTTCTATGCGATATTGCGAAATCCTTGTAGAGAATTTTTTTATAAAAATGCCTATTTTATTCGCTGTATTGCAACTACTATCATTAAAGAATTAGTGATAGTGTGTTATAATACTTGAACAGCTCGGTAGATAATTATAGTGAAAATGGTGTAATAGAAATAAATTGTACATGTAACTATGTTGCTTTTCGAATGGAAAGCAATACTAATTTTTCCAAAAACATTTTCTATGCGATATTGCGGAATCCTTGTAGAGAATTTTTTTGGTTCCGAACCAACAACTATATGAATTTTCATTGGGAGAAAACTCAAAAAGAAAACCAATCAAACGAACACATTAGGAAACATCTGTGTTAAGACAGTTGCACACGTGATCACGTGTCATCAAACGTCTTTAATCGTGCCTCTGTGTGTACGTATACATATGTGGCAGGTGTACATCCTCGTGGACATGCACACATGAGAAAGTGTAGCGAAAAACAGGGGGGAAAAATGGGGTATAAGAAACTGGCGGTTTTTGGCGCACGCTTGAAATTCGAAAAGAGGCATTGTTAATGGCAAGAAAAGAAAAATATGGTGAGTGTGAGTGTTTTGATTTTTTGAGAAACGGATGCTTACGACTCTCCGGCCTCGGCACGTTCCTCAGCACGTTCTAGATCGGCCTCAACCATGGCCAATTTACGGGCGACCTGTATAAACGACACATACACACGGTTTCTCTTTATGTTCCGTTTTTGTCTCTCTCCAGCAGTTCCTTAGCTCGCTCTTTTTCTCTTTCCGTTTTGCCGGTCCCTGTCTCGTGTCTCGACCAGGCATCTGGGCCAAGATCGACGCTCTCGCGCCTCGATCTTGCCGCCATTATCGCCCCATCATCGAGATCACCGTGATTCTGACCGACTCGATGTCGCTCTACGAACTGAAAGAGACTGAAACTCCTTTTGCGTCTGGTTGCTTCCATCGACTCCACTCAGTCTAGTGTCCCCTCCATTCGTTTTTCTAACTCTACCTTGAACGTGGCGAATTTCTAAAGTAAATGGCTCGTCGGAAACGTGGAACAGCGTTTGGTTGTAACGAGTCGGTGATTAGTGTTAACTGACTGCTTTCAGAGATTTATTGGAGTACGAAAATTTTGTTTGAAATTGTTAGATGTGGAGGGGAAGTGATGGTAGCTTCTTGGCGTACATTTTGTATGAGATTTTCTATGCGATATTGCGAAATCCTTGTAGAGAATTTTTTTATAAAAATGCCTATTTTATTCGCTCTATTGCAATTACTATCATTAAAGAATTAGTGATAGTGTGTTATAATACTTGAACAGCTCGGTAGATAATTATAGTGAAAATGGTGTAATAGAAATAAACTGTACATGTAACTATGTTGCTTTTCGAATAGAAAGCAATACTAATTTTTCCAAAAGCATTCTAATAGAATCTTATTTTCTTTCAAGGAGAACCATGTCAACTGATTACAGTTTCTTATATCTAAAATCTGGTAATCACTAAATTGCTCGGTGGCAGTATAATGATGCAGAGATAAGACAAGCAAGTAAACTAAAAGTCAAAAAAACATTAATACATAGACGTATTTATATCTTCCAAGCTACAAGATACTATAAAATGAAATTTCCTTTACCTCCATTTAAAAAAAGCTACCAAACTTCCAAATCTCTCCAACACCTCCATCCTTCACTTTCCACTCAATCGAGAAAAAGTGATTCTAATCCAAAAATTTCCATTGTCGTCCCATCACCACCAAGATGTCCTTGTTTTCAACATTTCCAACAATTCGATACATTTCCTAGACGCTTCTTTGCAAAACAAGATGCAGATCGCGTATTCTTGACCAAGTGTAACGGGTCGGAAAGAGCCAGAAGACGGAACCACTTAATCATCTGATTATACGTTCACAAATATTCGCCCACTTATTCGAGCTAACTCGTCGCGCTTGGTTAAGGGGTTAATAGTATTCCGCGTTGCTCCGCGCAAAATCCTACTCGTGATGAAATCGCAAATATTGAACCAGTGAAACACTAACCGTGAAACGTGCTTTTCTGCTCGAACTGTTTCGTTCGCTAGACGAGGAACGAATAATTTAAACGCGTTTAACTTGGCGACAACGAGCCACGGAGAGGTTGGAATTTTAAATAAAACTCCAGATATACCGTATTCGTGGCTCGGACCGACACGAGTCGAATAAGTGTACGCGTTCGAATAATCTTTAACGAACAGCTCTTTCAATTCTGTAGAACGCATCTCGTAAAGAGGAGATAAGAAACGAAGCGAGAGAAGACGTTTTCTCCACTTCGTTCCTAGAGATTGGCACGAATGGATAGAAATACTCGTATACTACGCAGTAACAACGAGATCGTCGTGGAAAACGAAAGAGAATTCACGTCGTCCCCCAGCATAAACCACGGAATAAAGCTGTTCACAGCGAGCTCTCTGGAATGTCCCTTTCGTTTGTCTACGTAGACCTTTCGTTCTATGCATGCAACCAACATCTTTTATGCGAACGTGACGCAACCCCTCGTGCAACTGCCTATCCACGTGACAATCATCGTCCGTGGATCTTTCATTTCGATCAATAATTCTCTACTCGATGCAGAAATATAAAAATAAGAAACAATATATTATCGTCTGTAGATGTTTCATTTTGGCCAATAATTTTGTACTCGATATAAAATATAGAAATTTAGAAGAAAGCAAATATCGCAGCATATGAAAAACATAAGAAGCCGCGTACTTTATAAAAGATTAATTTCAAAATTTGATACATTGTTAATCAACATCACGTCAAAATATTTTTCTTATATTTCATATTCAAAATATCTTCCATATGTTTTAATATTTACTTTCGAGGTTGAATATGCATTTTTTACCATTTTGAATATTTAGAAAATATAAATCAACAAATGCAAACTCTACATTTTTCCCACATTGTTTTTACATATCAAACGACAATGAAAACTGTTTAAAAACGAAGTTGATCAATATGATACGTTCATGACATGAAATGATCATTAAGTGGAATTGGATTAGATATCTAATAGCTAAATATTGGAGCAAGAATTACAATTCGCAAAATTTCGGAATGTTTTTTTAGAACCAATAAAACCTACGTTATCTGGATGACGTAACTGACCAAAATTTGTCATTCGGCGGGAGGTTTATGTAACGTTCGCAAGTCCAAGATACAGAGGGTTCAATGATAAGCGATTATTGCATAGGGTTAAAACACAGAAAGTAATATCACACTCGGTTAAGGCTCGCTTCCGTTGATTTTCTGCAACAACTGTTATGCTGTTAGATCGTTAGACAGACAAGCAAATCGAGATTCTAATAGAATCTCGGAAATTTGATTCGGTATCACTGCAAACATTAAGAAACATTGTACAATTTGTCTAGTTTCGATGTTTGTTAATACAATGACGCTCTAAGAAGATAATAAATGATGAGTTCGATTTTGTTACTGGGAGAGGATACAGACGCGTTGAAGTTACAACGATGAGTTTTAGGATTAAATCAATTTTTGTCAAACACTAGAGGAGTCATCAATAATGTAGTTTTCTGTGAAACTTTCATCAATACTTGCGCAAGACACTGTGCATTTGAGCAATAACAAGCAATAAATCAAGATATTCGATGAATCTGACGATGTAATGGAACTTTCTTTTTTTAATCGTTTGCCGGGTGTGTTGATGTACGTTCGATGCAGCAAAGATTCGTTTGTGCTCATCGAACAGCGTTTTCCTAATATTTCACGTTCTCTAGCGTGCCAGGAAAGTTTGGTGAATTAATTATTCGTAATTTTATTTTGCAAGACAGTCGTTTGAATATATCGAGCCGCAATTTTATTCAAAGTATAAAACACGGTTGAGTAATATGAAAATAATCGAATTTAGAAAAGAAATTGCACATCAAATTCTATAGATGTGCAACGACCACGAACCAATTAATTCTGATGCCCCGTTATTTTGAATTTCTAATTTCTGCATACTAGTTACATCTGCTGAGAAGGAAGAATCGAATAAAATGAATTTTATGTTTCTTGAACCGTGTAATATTATAATATCAAAGTAAGTAATTATTTTGTAATCTTTGTAACTTCGACGTCGTCATGTGACACAACCTACCATAACAGATGGATGTTTGCAATATTTCTGAGCTACGTTCCGAATTCCAGAAAAGCAAAAAGAGGGTGTCTTTGGACAAAAGCAGCACCATTTTAATCGCGCAGCTGACCGAAAGCCACATAGTCTCGTTTTTATCACAACACAGAACGCGTTAACCATATTTTAACGAAGCCAGTTTCCGATTAGACAAACCGAACACGCGAACTTACGATATTCACCGAATGTACGTTGAAAAACGATTTTGCGCGATAATTTTTATATGCAAAGTAGACTTTTATTTTTCTTTTTTTTTCTACGAAATTGGCACTTGAAACATTGTTTGTTTGTTCTCTCCCCCCCCCCCTTTTGTTTGCTCCAACAAACACTTGGAAATCACAGATATACAGCGGTTTTTAACATTTAAGTCGCGCTCAAAACACGTGACACTGACATTATTCATATACGTGTATCACTTATCCATCATTCTTTTCCTTTTTTTTTAATATTCCCAAAATAAGAATTATTTTACTGAAACACTGCACTTCTTACCAGTAGATCGATCAGTCGTTATCTCACTCGACGAAATCACAGACGATCAATACCTTTCGTTCCTCCTTCCATTCTTTCTTTCTTTTTTCTTTTTCTTTTTTCATTTAATCACTGTTTCGTTAGAAATATTTTTGAATTTTTACCAGAAACGGGATTTTATTCGAAATAACTTTCACGAACGATTTGGACGATCGGTTGAAGAAGAATCGAAATTCTTTGAATTATTCAATTGAAATATTCTCGAGTATAATATTAACGCGTTTACTTTCGATCGATCGAAATGTGAGTAGATTTTCGTTTCTTTTTTTCGTATTATACCGAGCCACGGTAATTTCGAGCACACAGAGAGAAAACAGAGAGTTATGGGGTTAGGCACTATTATCTCGACTATAAACTAGGAACCATCATCATCATCATCATCATCATCATCATCATCATCATCATTATTTTTATCATGATCATTGTCACTGCAGCCATCACGCTTGTCAGTCGTGGGCTCGCGAACCTCATCGTATTTCTTGTCAGCTTCTTCAGCGAGGAACCTGGCCTCCTTCAGCTGATTTTCGAGGGCGTCCATACGCTCTTCATCGGCCAAGCTGCGATTCTCGAGAATCTTGCGGGCTCTTTAATAATTATCACAAAGAACGGCGATTAACATACATTAAGAAAGAAAAGATCGCTGGAAGGAGAAGTTTTTAAATTATCGGTCGTTGCCTCGTTCGTTGTAACGAAGGTTCCACGATGATCAGGCACAGCACTGCTCTCCAACTATCTGCTAAAATTCTTGGAAAGATATACCTGCGGGAGCAAATTGGTACTTGATCTTGACAAACCTGAATCCTCTCCAGCTATATAATTCTACGCCACTTTTTTCTTCTTAGAGGATGATATAATATTTCCATAATCTACTTAATTCACGATATAAATAAGAAATGTTTCGAAGTTTAAGGCTCGTTCAGATTAGACGGATTACTTAAATTCCAATAAATTGAGATCAAGCGACTTGACTAATGCGAATTAGAGTAAAAATTTAGAAGGATATTCAAGCCAACTAATTGTGGCAGGTTCCTACTGATAAAACAGTATCATAATTGTTCAATCTACGAAATATAGTTAACGTCAATAAAACTTTGTGAGTTACAAATTATCGACATTATATTATTCAATTTTTGGGAATTAAATGTTGTACTGTAACACAATACTAAAGTGCAATTTAAAATATCAATTGAAAATATAGTGGCGAAGACAATGATATTTTTTATCGAATAAGAAAATTCATCGATATAAAATATGTCGAAAAGAAATTTGTTTCTAAAATGGTAAAGTGGTTCGTCAAGATGAATACAGATTGGCTTCCGTAAGATCGTCGCAAAAAAATTGTTTTTTCGTTCGCTGGTTCGTGACCCACCTCCTCGTATTTTTTATCCGCCTCCTCGGCGATCAGTTTAGCCTGTGCTAGCTGTTGCTCCAACAGGGATACTCGGTCATCTTCCATATTGGTACGGTTTTCGAGTGCCTTGCGTATCCTAGTGATCGATTATCATTCGATTTTTAGCACCGGTTTGATCGCCGTTGAAAGAAAGATCATCGACACACGAAAACAGGATTCTCGCGGTTATGAATAAAATATTCTTCGATTATTATAGCATATAGAATCGCGCGTGAATTAACATTCGGTTTTTTAAATTCTGGATAAAAATATTGATGTTCCACTAATGATTATTTTATATGATCATATTATACAACGTTATACGATTTAAAACGATAATTATGGCCGGTCTAACTCATCAAATATTCATCATGGATTTCATGTTTCGAGAAATTTAATTTATAAAAAAGGTCAAATTTCTAATAAAGAAGAATCTTCAATAACTTTCTTGAAGTTCTCTTTACAAGAGACTTTCTAATCTGCAACATTTTTTTAGATAATGTAGTAGCATAAAAAGCTTAATCGAATACATACGAAACAACGATAAAATATCGCGAATTATGTGTCGGCTAGTTATCAATTTCTTTTTCCGCGATAACAAACCTCAAACATGTCATCCAGTATCGTCAATAGCGTTATAATCGCCAATGATATCGTTTATCCGCAAATTTCCTAGCCGTTTTTGAATCTAAATTAATCTATACAGAACAGAGGTAACTCTCGCTCTAGATGTTCAAAGTCACGGTTCTGATAAATTGATAATTCTTATCGACGCAAACAAGAATCGGTATTTCAATTGGTCGAGAGCGGAAAATTCTGACAAAATAATTATCTGCGAGTTCTTTCAACGTCGAAAAGTTAGTCCTAGCGGTAAATAATGCCGGGATATCGATCGAAGATCAAGAGGAAGGGCGAGTGATCGATTAGATTAAACCAATCGACTGGTGAGGTTCATTTGCCAGAAAAAGATTCTATCGTTTTTTTCGTCGTCAGCTGATCAAACGACGATGGAATTTCATGCTCGCGTAATAATTGCATCACTTTCTGGAATGGATCTATCGATAATTAAGCAGGCACTTTACGCATAATAAATGTATAATGAAAATGCACGCTCCATAAAATCACAGTAATTACTAGTTCACCAGCAGCCTTGAATTTGCTCTGTGTAATTGCGTCTGTGCTTAGGCTCGATTGTCATATAAATATAACTAGGTCTATATTGGGTGCGGTATTAACCGCGAAACATCACAGTGCAATATTGTGCGATTATTTATAAATGGGAAAATATGTAAGTTTGTTTCAGGATACTCGCTCTTCCCACTCGATTTCGTTGAACGTACAGCGTTAGTTCTGATTCTTTTTGGAGCATCGAACGACCGTCTTGTTTTTTGGAAATGTTAACCCTTTGACTGTTATGGGTTGCTATAAAAGCTCGACGATAATGCCCACCGTGTGTTATCATTATTTCTTTAATAAACTAAATATTTTAATTTTTTCTGTATTTATATCAATATAAAATATCATTTGTATCTCGTTCCATCAATGGATGGCTCGTAATCGAAGGGTTAATATCGACGTTTGAAGTTATTGTAAAGGCGAAAGATCTACTAAAAATGCATTAGCATTCGTCTGTATAATTGTTTTCTTGTGATTTGATATATTCAACGACAAGAATTTTGAAATTGTATTATACTCTGATAAAAGTTCATTTATCACAGATATAATCTTCTAATTATTATGAGCAACGTACAGGTACTATTTTATCGATTTTTATTATCTCAAAGAATTTATAATTAAAACATTCGCATAATTCAATAACCTCCACTATAGTAAGTAGAATTAATTTTCTTTACAATATCCTCGCCGTGTCTTCAATAAGAGCATAAGTTACTTCAAATTATTATCTATAACTTAATCTCCTATCGTCCCATAGGGCAGACAACAAGCCTATCAGAATTATCATCTTTAATAACTCGACACCTCGATCATACGATTTTCCTTTTTAATATATATACAATTGCTAATAATAAACAACTACAATCTCTGACAACTTTATTAACATGAACCTTGCGAGGAGGCGAAGAAAGTGTATGAATCGAACTTTCATTGAATCGATCAATCAAACGGGAAGGGGTTGTTATCTACCCATTGAGTAAAACATGAATGCCACTATACTGAACGGCTCCATTATAAATATCTGTTCGTCGACGGATATTTATAAGATTTACGTGGTCGTCCGGTGCTCTGTTCATTACAGGAAAACATGAAGATAAAAATGTGCAGTTCCTTTACCGTTCGCTCTCATCCGCAGCTTGCGACGCCTCTGCCAATTTAGCAGTGGCCGTTGCGAGGCGTTCCTCCGATCTCTCGAGGTCCTCCTCCAACAATTGGATACGACGATTCAGAGCGGCTACTTCGGACTCAGCCTGTAATACAAAAGAAAATATTAAGTACGGAAAATTAAAATTTAAGTTACGACTTAAGTAGTTTAAGTAATTTTAGATTACATATTAAGTCGCAGTATGCAAGTATTATTGATGTAACTGTAAAAATGTAAATTGTAGTTGACACTAAAAGCTATATGGCCTATATGGTAATAGACCTATTACCATCACTATATTTTTAGATTGAAGATTACTATATTTAAGATATACATATATATTACTATATATACATTGATAAATGGAGTCTTTAAATAGTAATTTTACTAGTGTATTATATATTTAGTATTGTATTGATCTCGCTGTTTTTGTCAAGAAACAGACTTAGTTTCGTGATAAATGACGTTCTTATTTTCTGCGTAATCTATTTAGCTCTCTCCTGACCTATTTATTGACCCATCTTTTTATATTTGTCTCTATCGATTCATATCCACGCTAGCTCGTTCATTTCAAGCAATTGTGATATTTAGTGTTTTTTAAATTATAAAAGTCGAGAATATAGAACAAAATTTTTTTTTAATTTTTCCATCGAGACAACGATCTACAGTGAGATCCGTTATAACGAGATGCGATGTAGTGCACGCGTACCGAGCGAAAATTCAAAGTCGATTTTCTCGAAAACAAAGCCTCGAACGAAAAATTTGTATTCTATATTTTCGACTTCTTTTTTCGCCTAGAATCACCCTCTTTCCGCTTGTACCACCAGTTACCAACCACCCTGTATATTTTTGCTTATCTTGTTCTGCTGCATCTATTGTAGTGACAACGGACACTAGCGGTTCTCATTAGCCTTAAGTTTTAAGTGACATATTGGCAATATAAAAACGGACAATTTGCAGTAATAAATATAAATCCCTGTAACACGAGGTCCTGATTTAATGAATGACCACAAGAGTTTTGCAACGCCATAACAACAATAGTTATCGTCCCACAATTTTTCAGCCAACAAGTTACAAGGTTGCAATAAATTCATTACCACATGAACGAAGTAAGTTAAGACCAAACACCAGATAAGCTATCGTCGTTCGACAACCACGATTGCACCGTTTATTTCTAGCTTGATGTCCTCGACTTCCTTATCCTTATAAGAATTTCAGAAAAAAGATGAAAGGAAGAAAATAAAAAATACAAAAAGGAAAACAAGATTAAAGAGCTATTGTCCACAATCGTACAACACGTGATTAGAATTCGCAAGAATATTCATCGCGGGATCGCCAAGGTCTTCGCTCGGTTCGCATATCAATGACCCTAACTTCCTTCGGTGCTCGTACTCCTCGTAACAACCGATTTAATTGAATGGGTCGACCATTTTCACAGCATCCACTTACGTTTTCATGCGAATAGCTTCAAATTCCTTGCAAGTGGAATATATACTTGTCTCGCAAAAAGAAAACTAATCTTAAGATAAGAAAAGAAATACTTATCACATTCTATTAAAAGCGCGAGACTTAACGCTTCGTGGATTAAACAGTTGCAATAGTATGAAACTCGATTCCAAATAATATCGGTTAATTAAATTCATAAAAGTTTCTATTCGATTCTATGACGTGATCCAATAGAAAATCCGCATTTTATAATTACTTTCCGTAAAGATTTTAGGCTCAGGCGCTTTGTTACGGTTTCTACGTAATTAACGTTCTCACTCGATGTATCTTGCCGTGTTATTTAATTTGAAACTTTCATTCAATCGCCAAAAAACTTTGTATTCTTTCGTACGATTGTATTAAATGGAAGTTATTGTTTGCCCATGTTATTTAACTTAAAACTTTCATTCAATTTGGAGAATTTTGTACTCGTTCGTAAGATAGTACCAAATAGAGCTTACAGATAGTCTGTTTACAACGTGTTGATTTATTGCAAAAATTGTTCAACGCGCTCCTTATCAATCTTTATTTCTCGTATCTATTTCTTATCGAATAAACACCATTTTTAGATTATTCCACACACTTTTCCAATAAATAAGCAGTTCAATAGAAAATTGCGCTTCCTGTTAGCGTTAGGAAGGTGAATTAATGTTGTTTCGTCTCAAGATGCAAATAAAATGAGTGAAACGAGGTCACGAACACCCTATTACAATATGATACTAATTAAAGCGTTCTTTAATTAAGACATGGAATTGTAACGTATTCAGAAGTTGGCTTCATCGATGTGTTACGTCAAATGAAACGAACCGATCGCGCCCTTACAAATGTAAATTGCTTAACGCTCGATTACGCGCGTATTTGTCTATAGTCTACGCAATTCGAGGCCCTTGTCCTCGTTTGTGGCTGCACCTGTGACGATTGTGCGCCAAGCGGATAAATCCCAGTTTATCGTGCGTGAACCGGGCATTACGCGCGCTTGTACTGTTCTTCGATCATCCACCAACATTTTGCATCCGGACCGATTCAACAAACCTGCAATTCCCCTTGACCGATGACGCGTCCAAATCGGCCAAAGATATCGATATCGATGAATGTGCAATTCTACTAATTTTGGTTATCTTATCTTACAAAATAGATTAATATCTATACTCTGATTTGTGTAATGTACGGTAAACTTTCTTGATTAATGTTTGTAGAAAATTTCGAGACATTCTTTTGTGTTCAATTGTTATAAATATTATAAATTTATATTGCGCGTTTGATTGTTTTAGTATGATTTAGGATGGTGTTGTTTTAATGTGCATACATATGTAATGGATTTGTTTCGTTTCTGGTGATAATTCAATTTATTGGTTTATACAGGGTGGTTGGTAACTGGTGGTACAAGCGGAAATGGGGTGATTCTAGGCGAAAAAAGAAGTCGAAAATATACAATAAAAATTTTTCGTTCGAGGCTTTGTTTTCGAGAAAATCGACTTTGAATTTTCGCTCGGTACGCGTACGGTACGTTATAACGGATCTCACGCGAAAAACGCGTCTATGCTTCTACGCGAAAAAAGAAGCCGAAAATATAGAATAAAAATTTTTTTTAATTTTTCCATCGAGACAACGATCTACAGTGAGATCCGTTATAACGACACGCGATAAAGTGGACGCGTACCGAGCGAAAATTCAAAGTCGATTTT